CCCCTTCCCTCTTCCCCCTTCTCCCTTTTGAACTAATGATTGGTTTCAAACTAACGTTACTCTTTTGTTATCCGCTGTATTTTTCGGTTTCAAATGTTTTGGACTATTGCTCTGACTATATCATTACATTCAAACTTCAAATGGATTTGAAGGCGTGACCTAATTACAATCAGCATGTCCTAGCAAAGCCCACATTTTTGCCCCTTGTGCACTATTAAGAATGTTACATGTAGCTGCTGATAAACAGATATAGCTCAAATCCTGTGGAGACCTGGATGCGGTAAATGTAAGGGATTTAAATCCTGTTGGAACTTGGATATGGTAAATGTTAGGGGTAAACCCCTCTTTGTGGGAAAAAGAACAATGTCTTTTTCCTTTGGCAAGTGCAGCTTCGCTGAGGAGTCTTGTGATTCGATCATGAACAGAGCCTCACAACATGGTCTGACATTTGGTGCTCAGCCTGGTAAGGTAAATTGCAGTCCAGATTTATCACCCCCCTGATAAAGATTGTGAGATCAATAACAAATCACTAAATACGTAGTCGTAAAATTTGATATTGCTATAACCTGTTTAATACAGCATGTTGTTCTGGCTTCTTTGGTGTTGGTTTGTGCTGTATTTTGCCACTGTAGATTAGAGGATATCCGGGGAGTTGTTGTTGTGGAAAACAGCATGACCGAGGTGATTGTGGAGTACAAGAATTGGAGACCAACGCACTACCATTTGGGGGATAGAGATGGGTTCGTGGCTGCATTGGGAGATGTAATGGCACACATGGACACATTTACTATCAGACTTGAGTCAATGTTGGATTGTACCATACCGGGAAGAGTGCCACCTCATATCATTGTAAGTCCCATTTCATAGTAAACCTCCGTCTGTGTGTCTGTGTGTCTGTGTGTCTCTCTGTGCGTCGATCCTTGCGTCGATCTTTCGCTCTGTCACACTGTCAGTCTATCGGTTTGTCTGCATGTCTGTCTGTCAATGTTGGATTGTACCATACCGGGAAGAGTGCCACCTCATATCATTGTAAGTCCCATTTCACAGTAAACCTCTGTCTGTGTGACTGTGTGTCTCTCTGTGCGTCGATCCTTGCGTCGATCTTTCGCTCTGTCACACTGTCAGTCTATCGGTTTGTCTGCATGTCTGTCTGTCTGTCTGTCGGTCTGTCGATTGGTTGCTCGATCCGTCGGTCTGTCAGTCTGTCGTTCCATCTTGCCGTCAGTTTGTCCGGTGGTCTGTCTGTCAGTCCGTCGTTTGGTTCGTCTCTCTCTCTCTCTCTCTCTCTCTCTCTCTCTCTCTCTCTCTCTCTCTCTCTCTCTCTCTCTCTCTCTCTCTCTTCTCTCTCTCTCTTCTCTCGCCTCCACATGGATGCACATTGTAAATCCCATTTCACGATAAACCTACCTCTTTGTCTCTCTGTGTCTTGCCTGTATTTCTCTTGGTTCTTTGTCTTCGTCTTTCCTCACAGTAGAAGCATGCTGCAATCTGTTCTCTCCGAGTCCTGAGTTTGTTGTGTAGGCCTCTGAGTTATGGATCACTTGGAGCCAGGTTCCACCTTGCCTGTGTTGTGCTGTGATCGGTTTTTTGTATGAGAATGTCAACAAGGGAGCTATGTTGGGCCATTCAGTAGTTGTTTCGGGAGGTATGCCACACTGTTATAGGACCTTCCCTAACCTGATTGCTGATGTCTGGGTTTGGTTCCTGCACTGGCAGTGGGCAAAATACCCTTAAACCAGCGTGCAGTGTGCGGATGTATTGGCATCCTTGACCTTGCCTAGGATTCAAGTAACCTGACAGGGACCATGTGTAGGTCTTTGTAGCGACTGGAAGATATCAAGTAAAGAAAATCAAGTTAAGATAACAGCCACTGGGTCAAAATCTCAAAACCACCCGTGGCACAGCATTTCCAGGGACCATGCCCTTTTGTTGGCGGCCGCTGATTAGCTCAACCTTCCCACCAACTAAGCTGGTGGCCCCTTGTATTTCCAGCCCCATGAAAACTAGGACATTCAGGGGTGGGAAAAACTGAGATTTGGCAATTCGACCTAGGCACTATTTGCCGCCTTTAGCCGAATAGAATGTCCAGTCACTGTAACTGTATTTGGGGCAACTTCCATTCGAGATACAGCTATAATGACCGCGCGTTGTGAAGATGGAAAAGTGGCACCTGTGGCACTCTCCGTTAAGTGTGGGCTAGAATGGGTACCTGGCAACGTGGATGGCTCTGACGAGTCAGTAGAAATGTACTGATGAACCGAACTATGATGTGAGAGGAATCTATGGCTTGAACCGCCAGCTATCATGACTGTGCGGGGATGGGGCCGATTGCACGGTGGCCTTTATAAGATGATATCTGCATCTTTACTGGTGTAAATAGGATGGAGAGCCACGTTGCCTTCTTTCTTTTTTTTTTTTTTTTTTTTTTTTCAACTTGCTTTTTCTTTTCAAAAAAAAAGAAAAATCCCATTAATAGTTTGAAAATCGAAGCCATGGACCTCACAATTCCACCCGGAGTTATCCTGGCAGCCTTAGCCAGTTTCGCTTATGATCAAGATCTGGCCGTCTTCCTGCCCTATTACTTTGTGCTTTCCTAGGGTGTTCCTAGTCTCCTCTCAGCTGTCACAGCTGTCAGGTATTCGTTATATTCTAGAGTCACTAGGTTCGCCACGTTGCCTTTTTTTTCCAACCATTCAGAAAAAGAGCACCATATTGTGTGCTGTTCCGCAGGCATGGGGTAAAGCTAAATTGGGATCAGATAGCATGATCTGCACCTATGAAACCGTAAGAGCGCGCGCGCTTAAAGACCCCCCCCCCCCTGCACTCCAACGCACTTGAAGCGCTTTAAGGCACGCGCGTTCGTCAAAAAGAGAGTGTGCGCGCGTCACGGGGTTGCGCGAAGGCAGGGGATGTCGTGGGGGCGGTTGCCCGGAAAATTGGGTGGTTGGGGGTGATTTTTTTTTTGGGGGGGGGACTGGGTGGGGAAGGTGGTGGCTCTCTGTCTGTCTGTCTGTCTCTCTCTCCCTCTCTCACTCTCTGTATATGTGTGTGTGTGTGTG